TTTTTTTTTTTTTCTTCTGTAATTTTGGTCAGATCTTAAGGGTAGGGTTTTGTAAATTATATTTATATAGAAAAAATATATATACATATGTAATGAAGCAAAAGACTAAGGGAAAGGCGTTTAGATGAACCTTGTGATTCCCCTTCTCATCTTCGACCACACGGAACGGGTGCCACTCAGCATTCTTCATCTTCTCTTGCCATAAGGAGCAGAGTTCAACGGCCTTGATCTCAGCCTCTCCAGCTGAGAATCTCTTGCTACATACGGTTTTGAAGGCCTTCTCGTCAATCTCACCCATCCTCTTTATCCCGATGTTCACACGGCTGCTGCTCAGCATATCTGTCAAACCCTGAGAAAACAGCCAGGTAAATGTCACAGATATTACTTCGACAACTAATTATATCAAACTGATATCTTTAAATAGAACATAACCAATTAATTGTCTGGTTGTTACTAAGTTGTGAAACATATGCAATAAGTTCAAACAAACGAATAGGCTAGTTACTTGCAGAAGTTTATCCCACAAATTAACCAAGCAAAGAGACAGGATACGCCAATAGTTTCTCAATTAGATCCGCAGACATCACCAGTTTTAGAGTTTGAACCCACTCTTTCTTTTTAAGCTCACTGCTTTGAGACAATTACGACAGTAGGAAATCAGAACAAGAGACGAAACTTTACAAAATAATAATACCTCAATAAGCACTTTTCGCGCCTCCTGAAGCTCTTCATTGCTCTGGCGCTCTTTTGTGAGGAGCTGGTTGTTCAATTCCCCCAGACCATCGAGATCCTCCTTCTTGTCCTTCAAGAGCTCAGTCAGCTCTTGAATCTTCTTCTCCACAGCTCCATCATCATCGCTGCCCATATGCTTCATGACCTCCAGTTTCCCATTAAGCTCTTCGATCTCCATCTCCAGCTTTTGCTTCTCATCCAGATTCCTCTCAAGCTCCAGAACCTTCTTCAGTGCCGCTTCCTTCTCCCTCTGAATATCACCAAGTATGTTAAGGATAGCATAATCGGAAAAAAATAGAGCCAATACCATAGTGTAACTGGGGCCACACCTTCTGATCTTCAACCAACCGGAGAACATTCTCGTCTGCTTTCTTTTGCTCCTCCGTAGCCATTTGGAGAGCACTGTTCCTCTTGTCGTTCTGATCATCAAAATTGCAGAATCATCATAAGAAAATCAATATAAGTATAAGCACGTGCATGCAAGCACACACCAACAGTCTGAAGTCCTGTGCATCAGCAAGGACAAAAACTGCAATCGTATTGATGTAGAGTTAACAGTTGATTACCTTTTGCTTCTCCTCTTCAAGTTTGAGTCTCTCACGTTCAGTTACAGCCTCACGCTTATTCAATTCTTTACTCCAAGAATCAAGCCGCCGCTTTTTGTTCTCCAGCTCCAAGTTCAGCATCTCTTGTTCGTCGAGAACGCGCTTGATGTGCTCCCGCGCAATGCGTTGCAGCTTTCTTGTTTCTGAAATGGAAAATTCAAGTTACAACAGTTTAATTCTTATCAACAAAATATTTGGATTGATACCGATGAAGGTTGCTTTGATGAAAAAAAATGTACCAATATCAACATGCCAAATCAGTCATATAGTTAATACCTTGTAAACTAAGGTTAAAGCTAAACAGTTAAATTTTAGTTCAATAGGAAGACGGTGAGTCACAGGAAAACAAGAGGCAGAAACAGGAGGAGAGATACTAACCTTCACAGAAAGTGCGATGAAGGTCATCCTTCTCTTCAAGCATTCTACTGAGGGAAAGGGTCCTCTCATTGTATTTCATTTGCAGCTGGCCTAGATTTTCGTTTTTCAAATCAATCTCCTTGACCAGGTTACTCACGATACTATTTCGGTCCTTGGTAGCCTCCTGGACGAGATCCGCTATCGTCTTCAACTCCCCTTTCCTACGGAAGTAATCCCCAACTGGCCCTTCCGACTTGTAGTCATCCTCGCCAGCAAACCAACCATAAAGGTTTGACCCGGGAGAATCCTTCCGCTCAACCCATTCCTTTCTGCTATGTCCCTGAGCTTGAAACCACTTTTCAAACTCCATAGCATTCTTGAACCCAATCCAATCGCTGTCAAACCTCAAAACGACTTGATTAACTGCTCCAAAAGTCTCGATCGCCGAAGGCCTGTATCTCGAGAACTTCTTCATCCAATAGCTGCACTCCTCTTCCTGAGAGAAATTCTTTGACTCGTGTTGGACATTGGTCACGATCCCATACCAGGGCCAGATATGTTGCTCGGGTTTGGGAGCAGAAGGCGGAGGCATCACGCGTTGAGGCAAAGGCTGGACCTCAATGCCCTGGTCATTTTCCAAAAATGCTGCTAGGGCAAGATGGTTAGCCCTCATTTTCGCACTTCTAGCTGTGCCCTTGCCAGACCCAATAGCGTGCTGGAGCAGATGATAGAACTGGTAATCTTGCTTCTTCTTGCCCGCACAGAAGGGGCATCTGAAGGAGCCATTCGGGCCCCTAATCTTGTATGTTCCCGCCTTCAGCAGCTCGTATGGTTTCTCTTTGTACTCATTAATCTCCGAGTCGCTGATGTCTGATTCCTCTGAACTGCTGCTAGCCATCTGGAAACAATTGAGTTAAACACGTAAGCAACAAGAAAACATCAAGTAGAAAAACAATGGGGATAATTGCGAAACTACAAGGAAGGTACAGACTAGTTACAACAGTTAACCACAGATCTCACTTATAATTTCAAATGTAACCTTAAAAGTTCAAGTGTTAGGAATAATCCCATGAGCTTTGTGTTCATCTAAGATATACCATCATCCTGCCGGTCAAAATAGTAAGAGAGATACAAATTTCATGTGTTTTGTAATCCTAAGAAATCACTGAACCCTTACATTAGGCTTAAAAGTTTAATGTTTGGTATATGCAGTTCACCCTAAATGACAAATAAAACACTTGACTAAAACAAAATTCTGCATGAGCTATTTTACAAAAAAAATTTCTCCAATGAAGTCGAGAAAGAGAAAGAACGAATATCACCAAATTATCATTTATCAGCTAATCTTGAGCTATTTTACCTAGGTAAGCATTATGGAACAAACAGCTCTCAGTACCCAAACCCTAACCTAAATTTGACACAAAAACACTGAAACAAGAGATTCACGGTCCAGCAGAAAATCTACCACAAACAGCCCACCAAGCACGAGCTAGCTTGTAAAAATGAGGCGAAATACAAGGACAAGCCCTTAGACAGACGCGTCAGTTGAACAAAAATGTGAGAAAAGGGATCGAGGTTAAACAGAATCATACTCCATTTTTACTCGCACAAAAGCAAAGATCCAGAAAAAGCAACTGCATTCTCACCTCGGTCGGGACTCGGGAGTGATGATAAAAATGGAGTCGATTGGCGATCGGCGGAGGAAATGATGCCGGAGACGCAGATGATGGCTGACGATTTTCTGGCAGAAAAAGCCCTAGGCAGTCGGAGTAGGTAACAGGTGAAAGAGTGGACAATGGTAAAACATAAATTGGAAAAATACAAATTAATTAGTTGTGGTGGCATTTCTATGTATAAAAGTAGAATGCACAAATTCTTAAAGTATATTTTTTTTTTATTTTTTCAAATTTGGGTCATTAATGTGTATTTTCCTTATAACTATAAATTATACCTTATATTATAAAAATATATTTAGTATTTTAATATTTTTATCTAACTTTTTTATTTAATATTTTAATATTTTTCTAATTAAAAATAAAATATATTTATATAAAGATATAAAAAAATAATATTATTATCCAGTTTGGTTATTTCAGTTATTTAAAAATTTAGTAGAAAGCAACCCATAATAATCAAAATTTTAAAAGTGAAAAATCAATAGCCGAACTGACATATAACAACCAGAATTGAAAAATTTTATTGCATTCGATCTCGGTCATTTTTTCGGTTTTGACCGATCTTTGCGTAACTTTATCTGCGTTACAGAATGCACAATAGTGCACGGAAGTCATTATTGCACATTTAGTTTAACAAAATTGTGAAGTTATTGTGCATTCCGCAACACTCAGTATTTTTAATGTGCATTTTCGTACAAAATAGTGCAATTACATATCAATACTGTGCATTGGTGCATTTATTAGATATTTTTTTTTTTATATAAGTTACATAATTGAACCAATAATTAAATTGCCTTATATTCAAGTTTTTTAAATTGAATATCAGACCCTATAGTTTATCTAATTCTGAGTAAAATAACCTTAACTCCAAACTGAGATTTCAACCACCAATTTTAGAATTACAATTGCCGCCATCGTTGGTGAAACAGATGCAGACAACCCTCTCAATTTTACATCATATCACCAATTTTTAGAATTTCAACTGTAAACATTCAACTTAAAGCATTAATTTCTCCAAATCGCAATAAAATCCCTGACCAGGAATGGGGTCGTTCGTCGGAGGAGTGGTCAATTAACTTCAAGGTAAACGGGGACGACCACAGTTCTACCAGGAGTGACACGAGCAGCAGGCACACGATTCCTTCCTTTGGCAGTGCGGCTGAGAAGGCGAAAGGCGGCAATATGTGATCCATCAGAGTCTGTTGTTAATGCAGCTGGGGGGGAGGGGTGTGAGATCGTGTATTTTGTGTGTGTGGTCGGTTTGGGGTATTGACAATTGATATAATGTCTAAATTACCTTATGTAAAAATGCTGATTGTTTTTTACCGTTAGATGATCATATTTAGTGGCTACGATGTATTCTTATTTCTTTCAGTTAATAGCACCGGTGTGCATGGTTGGATATAAAATATTTAATTATTATGACCGGTCAGATAAATTTTTTAACTCAAAATACAACTCAAAATTTATTCAACTTAACTTTTTTCAGTAGCATCAATATATTTAAATAATAGCAATAATCGTGCTCACACCTCACATTAACTTTTTTTCGGTAGCCAACCACGGTATCCGAAGCTATACCCCGACTAATCCGTTGGAGTTGCACACCTGACAGTGGTGGGTGAGTCTCCCAACAAGAGTTTTCTGCATCCACAAGGACTCGAATCTCACATTAACTATAATTCACTGTTCATCCACTCACGCAATTTTAACTACTGATTACTTCCAATCACATCTCTCATGCATTCATACTTTTATATCACATTATTCACCTCAGTTTTAATCATTATATTTATAATATCATTTTAATACAAACTCAAAATCTCATTGAAATAATACTCAATCAATAATTTTCAAAATTACCTCACTTTATCCAATTAATTCAATCAAATCTAAAATAAGTTAATAACGTATATCCATTCACGCCCTAAATAGTTGATTATAAGTCAAATTGGTAATTATATTGCAACTTCAAATTCAACTACAAAAGAATGTAAACAAATCAACTCATTATAATTTTTTAATTCAGCTCTTTTATACTTCATAACCTATTTTCAGCAAGCTCTACTTCAATTAAGTGCCCATCATCTTCCAATCTGCATTCTCTCTAAAACTTTATTCATTCACCTAGCACTATACAAACTGTACAGAGATGACAGCAGCCAAAGGAAAAATTCAACACTAAAACAATTAGCAATTCAATGTTTTTCACCCTTATTTTTTTTCACCTGTTAGCTGAGCCTACAGAATATACATGTTGTCTCACCAATCAACGCAAGGTGTCAGTAGCAGCTGGAATTTCTCCTCTGCAAAAAGAGGATAATTCGATCAATATTTGCTGAACGAAGGGGGAAAATATACAAGATAGACCCGAATTACGTTTTTGGAAAACTGCTTCATATAGAGATGGTATTACCTTCAAAAAATAATGGCTCCTATCTCTCTCTTCTTCGACCTAAAATATTCGAAAAAATGAAACAGAGCACTAGTTTCTTTCATTTACAATTGTACAAATAGATACTAATCATGGACACTGCATATCTCATCCTCCAACGAAAAAATACAATACACATCGAAATTTATTCTTGCAAATGGGCATCGTAGGACTCGGTTTAGCTCTTGCCCCAGCCTTTGTCTCTCTGGATTCCCAAATGGCTGCTGTGACACCCGGTACGATAACATCAAATGTGTGTCGTATAACTATACTTTATGTGGAACCGGCCTTTTGACCTCTTGTTCAAAAAAAGTCAATTTTGTGTGAGAGTTGTTCTACAGACGAATGAACTTTCTGTATTTTAGGTTTTTGCGAATGATCTGCTGTGTTTGGATGGTATGGTGGAAATTGGAATAGCAATAGCCTTGGGACTGCCACCTGGTGGAGTTGAAGCACCAGACGGATAAGGAGACACTCGTCCTTTTATATGCTGAGGTGGTGGTGAGTATGAAAGAGTGTTTTCAGATGAAGAAAGAGGACCGGAATGGTTTTTCACGGTGTAGCCATCACTGCAAAGGAAAACCATGATAGAGAATGAATCTCGGTGAGCAAAGGAAGCAATGTGCAGGATCTAACCAAGAAAATCTTGAAGCATATGGAAAGAGAGTGAAAAATGAAGGGAACCTGCATATTATGTTTCTTTCCTTTTCTTTATCTTTCTCTCTTTTGTTTTTTTGTTTCTTTTACAGGCATAATCTCACGTACAACAATAAATTTTGAGTCAGTACAAACATCTCGCATCATCTCACAAGAATGGCAAGGTTAACTTAAATGCGTAAATAGTTTTGTTTCTTCGACTTATACTATGTCTCCAGGGACTACTAAAGCGTACCATGCATGCATGTGTCATGTGTGAGTTTGTGTGTGTGTGTGTGTGTGTGTGTGTGTGTGTGTGTGAGAGAGAGAGAGAGAGAGAGAGAAAGAGACCTAAATCCACGAAAATCTTTCCGGCTTTTTGAGTGATTGATAGCTTCAGAAAAGTCCAAATAGTGGGAAATTCTTCTGGAGCGCCCAGAGTCCTGAAACGGGTGTATCAAGTTACTTAAATGGTTAGGCCACAATATCAGTCAATTGTTCAGAAAAGAAACACAATTTCTTGAAGATTACATCCTTGAAGAAGGTGATTAATCACATGCCCAACCCGACCTTATCATCTGTATAGAAACATTTTCCTCAAATGCTCTTTGAAGAAGGCTATCACAAGTCATAACAAATAATAGGAAATTAAGAAGGGCTTATAAATGCACCAAGGTCAAACTTATTCCCAAGAGTTAGCTCAAAAGGAGAGGTGGCCACACCAATACTATCTTTTTACAATGGCAATGACCAATATGCCCATATAAACTAAATATCAAGGTATGAAAGTATTAATTGTATCCAAACTTTATGTTATAAAATTATTACCGGTGCTGATATCTAGTAAGCAGTTAAGCCTAAGAGAGATATCAACGATCAGAAAAAAAATGTGACAGACTCAAAACCTGATTTGGCAGGAATGGATAAAAGAGAAAAAATGAAAAAAAAAATAAAAATGAAAATCCAGGTCTTTCCAGCATACGTACCAGTGTTTTGACAGCATGCGTAAATGCAGGAATGGATTCTACAGGCTCAGCACCTAGAACGGGTCTTTCCAATGAGCTACAGTTCTTAACAAAAGGATGCTCTAGTAGCTGGGAAGCCGTAGGTCGGTGACTGGGATTTCTCTGCAAGCATTTCATTACAAAATCCTTGCCTTCGTCCGATAGGTGGTCTGGAATATTGGGCAGTTCCTTGCTGTTTCCAACCTTGAACATGGCTGCAACCTTTTGAGAAACACCCAAAGCAAATCACAATGTTACTCATATAGCAAACAGACTACATGATAATATAAGGACATCAAACTAACCCCTTCATACTGACTCCAAGGTGGTTTTGCGGTGGCCATCTCCAACACAGTGCACCCAAGGCTCCATATGTCCACCGCAAGGTTACAACCGCCTGAGTTAGTAATGACCTAAATGAATATACGTATGCAATATCAAATTTTTGTGAAGATTAGCCTAAAGAGCGGAAATAGGAAATGAGATTTTAGCTTTGACCAACCTCAGGTGCCATCCAGTATGGGCTTCCCTTGAACGACAATGGACATGATTGCCCAGTTATCTAAACGATATATAGAAATTCGTTTTAGATTAGACTAACACAATGATTACAACAATATAAAGTCTTCACTGAATAATGATTTTGTACTGTTCTCAGTTCCCTTTTAATATACAGTGAAAACTAAACCACCACCTTCTAGCTGTCTACATCAACTGCATTTAAGCAATACTTTTTTTTCTTTGGATACACCAATACCGATAAGATAACATATTTTAAAGTCATCCACTATATAGCAATTTAATGCAAAAATCTACAAAATATGCAAGCAGTTTCATAGTCACAGTGGAGGTCATAAATTATTTAAGAGGAGAAACTCACGTGTTTTGCCATCCCAAAATCAGCCACTTTTACCCTCCCATTGGGATCCACAAGAATATTTGCTCCTTTGATGTCCCTGACCAAATAAGTACACCCAGTTAATAAATGTGTATTTTACAACATCATAAACTCTCAAGTCCAAATTTATATTAAGAGTTGAACATGAAAGATGAAACACAGGACACCGGAACAGAATCTATCACTTGTAAATTACCCACCTATGAATTGTATTTTTGGCATGCAAATAAGCCAGCCCAGATAAAATCTGTTGGGTATAACTTCTGATTGCTGCTTCACCCAACTGCCCATACTCTTGCAAAATTTTGTGAATCGAACCACCAGATACATATTCAAGGTATATATATAGTTTGTCATCTACCTGCAGGCAGAAAAAACCAGCAATGTTTAATGGAACTTGGACCTTGCAGCAAAACCTGAGAACCAGTAATATACTTCATTCAACAAGGAAATGACGAATTAAAAAAAAAAAAAAAAAAAATTAAAACAGAGAGAAGAGGAAGAAATATAAGGAAACGCAAAAAAACTTGCTACTGATAAACGTTTTCTGCAAAATATTTCACATCATCATCCAAGAACTGAGAGCAAGAAAAACAAATCCATGAATAAAGCCAAACTTTTATATTCCAAGCAGAATACATCACGGTGGCAGAATTTGGAACTTAATATGGAGAATATACAAGCAACCATGCAAAATATTTCTTTCCAACTAAAAGATATTATCGCGAATAAAATAAAACTAGAATAATATTGCACAACACTTACCATATCAGATCCATAATATTGCACTATATTTGGATGATGTAGACGACTTAAAAGTGCAACTTCCTGCAAGAATGATTCCAGTTGAAGTTACAAAGAGATGACGGTTAAGAATAGAAACATGATTTTAGAACAAGAAACCGTAAAAAAAAAACCATTGCCCCTATCTCTCTTTCACGCGGTTTGTAGAAAATATGATTTTCGGTCTGTAAAACAAAGCTCCAACAAAAGCCTTTGCCTGTTTGCCCCTAACTGAATAAAGATATGACTTGACAAACACTCACCTGTCCCAGTTGCTGTGCACTTTCTTTTGACTTGGCATCATCAGAGAATAATGTAACCTCCTTCATGGCACACATCTCACCACTTTCGCTGCAGACCAAGTACAATGACTAAGTAAGATCACAAGGGCGTACAGCCAGCAAATGCCAATTATAAAGTTCCTTTGGTTTTGTTTCACTGGTCTACCAGTAACATCAAAATGAGCAAGAAAGATGCAAGAAGTTTAAAATACAGAAGGTAAAGCTACTACATGTACATTGGGATCCGATTGTAATGGCTAATGCTATATTATACTATAGGAGGAAACATAATGTATGAATATAAGAAACCTACTAACTGACACACCTATTAAACCCCAAATAAACTTGTCCAAATGTTCCTCTTCCAAGTGCTCGTCCTTTTTTCCAGCATGATGCTGGGCTTAAAGGATTGTCAATCCTAACAGGACTTCGGGACATCCTGGGTGATGTAACTGGTGAAAACGATGGAACGAATGGAGGAGTACCAGATTGCACTGGAGGTAGAGGCAATGGGTGGCTCTGTTGCCTGCTATTATCAGACCGGGCTGCAGAAGGCTCAGATGTGGTCCCCCCCGCACGAGGATGAAGAGGTGAGACCCCACCGCTGTGTATCCTTGAGCCAGGTCCGGGGCTCATCATTCGGGGGCTAGGCAAGGGGGAACACTCAGGACTACACCTGCTATGCGGCCAAAGGAGCTGACATGGCATATCCCCAGTAATGGAATTGTTTCCTGAGTTATATCCAGAAGCTGGGCTAGAGCACTGTCCAGATCCTTGTATAGCTATGTCTGCATGCTGCTTTCCTGGCCAGAAACCGTACTCCGTGGCTTGTTCATTACCAAAAAGCCTTGTTGGACTTCTAGGAGGACTTGAAACTGGAGTGTCTGGAGCATTTTTTATAACACCCTGATGAGCCTGTGGACGAACTTTACAATTCACATGCCTCTGCTTAGGTGATATGGGGCTAGTCTGATAATTCAACAAACTATTAGCTGGCTTCACCATCTCTCTTGAACTATATACAAAAATATATGGACACATTCCAGTAAGGATCGGTTAATAATTAATAAATAAATAAATAAGTGATTAGTTTTGTGGCAGGCACACACCCACACGGACTGGTTGTGTAGAATCTCATTCCATTCTCGTAATCAGATTCCTGAGGGCTTATGAGACGCGAGTCACATGGATCGTCAGTATCACTCGATGTATCACTAAAGTTGGAAAGAGTAGCCATGTCCCCTTCACCAACCACAGCAAGTATCTTGGTTTTCACATGTCCAGATTTCAGATGGCAAGGGGATGGATTGTTTCTGGGACCCCCATCAAGAGATGGTTCGTTCCTAAAAGCAAAATAGGTACCGGGAAGGGGAAGTGGCTGGGCCTCAGGGCTTTGACTGTGCAACTGCAACACGTGTTTGGACGACAATTGGGAAAGGGGATTTGCGTGTGATTGAGCTTCTTCCTTTTCTGAAATAGAATCATTATGTTGTCTTTTCAAAAACCTGGGCCTAATGCAACTCCTGTGCAGTGAAAAGATGATACTTTCCACATTCGATTTTTTTTTCATGTTTTTAGAAGACTTCCCCCACCACGAACGCATGATTATATAACTGAGAAAGTCACACCAATTGAATCAATGGTACAGACAACAGAATGCAGCAACCAAACCTGGCATCAATAACAAGCAACTTAGGTAAAGGGGAAATCCATAAAATAAGATGCTGTGCAAGGAATTATCTAAGTAGATGTATCATGCATGAACTAAATACACCTCGTACATGAAATGTTATGGAGTGAGGTTAATCAATTAAAATATTATTGGAAGCTGTAAAAATAAATTCCTGCTGATTTACACATGCATTAAGGAGCATGGTTCCGTGATGAGATTTGGAATATGAAAATCCCATTATTTCGCCACAAATACAAAAAATAAGAAAGCAATTGAAATATCAGTTAATATTCAGTCGACGTACATGGTAAGCTGATAGTCTCTGAAAGACAGTTCGAGAAGCTGATTAAAATAAGGATTTCAGATACAGTATCGATCACAATGGTCCTAAAAAGTTAACTTCCATTGTAAGTTGTAACATGGTATGTAAGCATGTAACGGAATGTTTCTATGATTAGATCACAGGGATCAGGATTGTGAGAAATGTTCAGCTTCTTAGATTATGCAAATACAAAATGCAGAAAATGGTCACATGATTGTGCCCATCATATTTTAAAACCAACTGAGGCACACAGCCTGAAAAGAACAAGATCAATCTACCACACAATACTCAGAATTGGCGGTCATTGGTTCCAAACTGGAGAAAGTAATCTCACCAAGTTTTTCAATAAAGGACTTGCTGGTAAAATATCTCCATTCTCCAGACTTTCTCGGAATCATAAATGAGATGCAAATCTAGATCAATTCAACGAATCAGAATATTTGACTCACATGAATATTAAGTCCTTCTGCTTTACGGCAAAACACAATGCTGGACTATATGAGATTAAAGAAATCTTGACTGTAATTTCTTGATCGGCATGTGATAAAGTCACAACTCACTTAACTATCTTCACTGGACTATATTTTATACCTACAGTGTTTTAGCATCACATTCCATGAAAACAAATGCACCATGGTTGAAAAAGTGTTAATTACTTTCGCTTTCTTCTAGACATATATCCCATCCGTTTTATGGTTAAACGATAAATATATAATAAGGACTATATGGTGCATGATAATATCGGAACTGCATACCAACATATATTTTCAAACATGGATCCAAAAATAAACCCCAAGCCCAACCCTTAAACCTCAACATAATATTCAAAAAAAAAAAATAAAAAAATCCATTATTTTAGCAGAGAATGTGTGATTTGCATGTGTGCTTTCCCAAGCAAGAACATACGTCAAGCAAGTCCATCTAGAGATCACAAATGTCAACAAGAATGTGTGATTTAGTCGGCATCAATCAATCGAGAGGTGTACTTACAATTTACAAATGAAGCATTGGGATCAATATTTCTAATCAAATGATGAGACAAAAAAAAAAAAGAAAAAAAAAAGGAAAGGCAAAGAATATGCCTCCTAAACCATTGAAAAACAAAAAGGGCAGATAAAATCTATAAACTTTTGCAAAGAGCCGAGGCTGAATTCACCTGATACTTGAAAATTATACACCTTATGAAACTAAAATCATCAAACCGAAGGCGCATTAACTCGAAATTAGAACCATTGCTAGCCAGCCCTCTTCAAAAGAATTTCAGAATAAAAAAAATAAATCAAAATTTTACTCATGAAATTGACCTCAGAACACAGGACTTAAAGCACCCAAACCAAAAGCCCCACCAAGAGTCCTAGATTTAGCTCAATAAAAATTATCGAACACAAAATCACTGATTAAGCTACTGCAAATTGAGGAAATTAACTGTACGCGGTAAACCAAAGCAACAGAAACATAATCCAGCTAAAAATTACACGAATGTGTAGAATCCCCAATTATTTGTAACTGTACGCACCGGAGGAAAGGGCAGCGGCGAACTGGACCGGACTTTTTGGCCTTGCTCACATAATCTCGGTATTACTCACCAAAGAGTAGCAATTTGCAAAAGGAAGGGAGATGTTTACAGAGACGCAGAGAGAGAGAGAGAGAGAACAGTATAATTATATATAGGCATCTGTGCTGTATGCATGCATCTTTGTAGAGAGAGAAAGTGAAGTTCGCCACACTTGTGAATTTCATTGCTTGTAAAAGAAAAATTGAAATTTGGAGTTTTGGACTTCATATTCATAAATTCTTGTGTGGTCGGTGTGGGGTCAACCTCTCAATATATCATGCAACAAAAAACTTTTATAGTATGAGATATTTTATTTAGGGAAATGCTACCGTCTCCGTGAGCTATTTTGTCGAAATTTAAAATCGTTGGATCATTATGTAATCGTTGTGGATAGTTGGTCAAACGGTTATGAATCCTGACGAAACTGGATAGTAGAATTTCTCTTTTATTATATTCATTTTATTTGAAAATATAATATTTTTTAATGAAAAATGTACCAAGAAAATATGTTTGGCCTTACCCCAGTAATGTTACAAACTGCCAACATACTTTTTACCCATAAGAAAGTGCTTCTATGTTTTGAGTATATTTTAGACAATATAAATTTATATTTAGGATATTTGATATATATATCAATATTTTAAATATTATATAATTGAAAATAGAACTTAAGGGGAAATTATATACAAAATATAATTTTGCTAACAGTGCAAGCTCCAAATTATAAATTTTGCTAACATAACATTTCAAATATAGAAATAAACATTATTAAGTAATATTAGACAATTTTAAATAAAAAACGAAAATCATTCTTAAAATACTCAACATTTATATTTGCATAAGCCATAAAGGAAATTCATTATACTTACAATTGTTGTTGCTCATGTTTTCGCTTTCGCCATTTTTGAACCACAAAATAATAAAAAGGAAAGTTTGTGATGCGTGTTAAACACGAGTTGAAACTTGACTCCAAGCAAACTATGAAGCTCTCCTTCTAACGTCAAAATGTTGACGAACGTTTTCGCCAAACGAGTTACTATATTTCATATGGATGTAACATGAATGGGTTAAGCATCTTTACGTATTCTATTAAAAAAAAAAAAGATAAATGAACAGAGAAAACTGATAGAAACAAAGTAGATGCTTAAAGAAATGAATCGTGAACTAGGTCGGTCCCAAATGTTCACAACTCGGGTGATATTAAATGCAGTATTGAATATGGGAATATTTGTCTCTGTTATCATCATAATTTTATCAACATTAGAATTCTCGCACGCTATTTATAGTAAGGACCTACGATCACTATTCACAGTGTCGCTATCAAGCATTAGTACGTGTTGGACTCAGATGCGCAATGCGGAAGATGTAAATTAAAATATCAAGATAAAATGGTGAACAATAAACCCAATCCAGCAACTCAAGAATGACAAAAGAAAATCTCTTGCAATAAAACAGGAATAATTCTTTTCTGATGTGGAAGATCAGATTAAACTGCAACCACAGAGCATACTAAGAATATCCCAAATAAATAAAATATGCAAAAAATAAGACACCAAGAGTTAACGTGGAAAACCTCCAAATTAGAGGAAAAAACAACGGGACAACCTCCGAACAATTCCACTATATTTTCAAGATAATTACAATATCTTTTCACACTCCCTTACACTATAAATGTAAAATATAGTGACCCAGTGAGAACCCTACTCTTAAACAAAGAGTAATAGAGTTGATACTCAACCCGGTGTATTTTTCCCACACTCACAGGATTTACTCAAACACTCTATTATCTCACTGAAAAATAACACACAGAAATATTATTTCTGCTCTCTCTCTTGTTCTCTCTTTTTTCTTCTTCCTTGGTGTATTTTCCAGCCCTCAACCGAGTGCTATTTATAGCAGAGAAATGTTACATGTGTACAAAACAAATAATTGTGGCCAGCTCCCCTTTTTTGTTTCTTTTCAATAATATGGCACAACAATCAAGACCTTTTGTTTTCTTTCAAAAAATTTTATTTGTTTGTGCACATGGTTTTGGCTGGAACCATCAATTCTCCCCCTCCAGCCAAAGGGAAATATTCTGCAACTCTTCACATGCATTCCATGCCGATCAACTCGGCACAAAGCTGAAACTTTCCTCCTGTTATAACTTTCGTCCACACCATTATGCTGTGGGGTTCCAGGTACAGTCTTCTCATGCCTGATGCCATGCTCGGCACAATAATTCTTGAATTCATGGGAAGTATACTCCCTCCCATTGTTTGAGCGAAGACACTTCAAAGGTTTACCAGCCTGTCTTTCCACCATAGCATGAAATCTTTTGAAGTATTGAAAAACTTCACCCTTCGTTCTCAAGAAATACACCCACAATTTTCGTGAAGCATCATCAATAAATGTCACGAAATATCTGCTACCACCGAGACTCTCCACTTCCATGGGTCCACATACATCAGAATACACCATCTCCAACACATTCTCTTTCAGCTTCGAGGTCTTGCTGAAAGATACTCTATGATGCTTTCCAAAGAGACAATAATCACAAGGATTGAGTTTTGAATCTTTGGCAAATGGAATGAGGGACTTTCTTGCCAAAATTTGCTATCCTTTTTCACCAATGTGAGCCAGTCTTTTGTGCCACAAATTTGGCGAAGCATCATCTTCGACTGCATTCAATACACCCTTGATCAGCTTCACTTGAGTTCTGTACAGTGTTGATCTCATTGTACCTCTAGCAGCTAATAATGATCCTTTGGTAAGCCTCCACGTTCCGTTACCAAAATTATTAGTATAGCCTGCTAGATCCAATGCATGCACAGAGATCAGATTCAGACGTAAGTCCGGTACATGTCGCACATCCTTCAGTGTTATTGTGCACCCAATATCAGTTTGAATGCACACATCACCAACTCCCACAATATTTGCAACGCTGTTGTTGCCCATCTTTACTCTACCAAAGTCTCCTTCTTTGTATAGAGAAAAAAATTCCTTGTGAGAGGTTGCATGGTATGATGCTGCTGAGTCAAT